TTTGAAAAAAAAAGGCCGAAGACACAGATTTTGCAGCTGAAGATTTCCCAAGCCTGTAGAAACTGAATTTCACCTTGAGATACAGCAAGAGATTAAAAATTAGGCTGTTTGTAATCAATCAAGATAGATGGGGTATAAAAAAAAAATAAAACCAGACACAAATAATCCATGCAAATTAAACTGTGCTCACCTTTCATGTCAGAACTGCTTCCATGGTCCTTAAATCACAGACATTTTAAAACAGTTTAAAATTCATTCTCAAAATTGTCATGCAATCCATCTACGTTTTACAATTTATTTATTTATTTTTCCTCCCTGTGAGATTGGTATCACTGTACTTCTACCTAGCAATTTACATGTATTTTATTTGAGTAGAGTTTGATGTGTGTTATGATGAAAATGTCAATGGTCTAATGATTAAATTGATTTTTTTCTTTCCTTTTCCAGAAACAGCATAGCTGCCTCAGCAGTGTGTGCCTTCAATCTGAGTGCCATTACTCAGGCATTTAATGGCCCTTTCCGTTACCAAGAGAACCCAAGATCAGCCTGGCTGCCAACGCTAAACCCCATTCCCAATTTCCAGGTACAAGTGCTACCCTTTGTTTACTTTGCTGTCTTTTGTGTTGTCTGTCATTGCACTGGGCTGATTTGTGTGGGGCTTATTTTTCCAGCTAGACCCATTTTACAAATAAATGATATTCATCCACACCTAGGAAGATTCAAGTCTGTCAAATTCCTTGCCATATGTTGCTATTGCACTCAAATGCTTCGTGTGATGCATGGCAAAAATAGAATGTTTTTGTGGATAACATGGATGTTCATAGTTTATATAATAAGAGATTAAAATACCTGCTAGCCAGAGATAATGTTGTAGGTAACAAGGCTGGGAGAAAAGGTTTGCTCAGGATATGCCGCTGACCACCCTTCCCCTGAAAAAGCTGTGTGTACTGTTTTCTGAAACAACTGTACTGACCTATGGCAAGAACTATGTTAGGCTAGATGGACTCAAATTCTGATGCACAGGAAGAAATTTTTTGTTGTTAATTTTATATTCTGGCACGTGAACCTCAAAAATRTGATCCTTACAAGCAGACATGCAGTCACTTCTCCACCAGAACCCATGGATCCAAGAATTGGAAGCTGAGCATGGATAAAATCAAACTAGAGACAAGACAAYCTTTTATTTTACTAACAAGTGAAGTTAGCCATTGAGACTGTGTAAAGATGTGATGAATTTTCTTACACTTTCTAGGTCCCCTGAGGCTACAAATGTTTCATTCCCAGATGGATATCTTTCCAAGACAGACACATAACTTAGCCAAAAGTTATGGCTGTGTTGCAGGAGTAACCAGTGGAAACTTGTGTCCCATGTTGTGCAAGAGGTTACACCGGGGTTCCTTTTTGCTTTTAAAATCTTTGTCTTTATGAATGAGCAAGTTTTCAGGATTCTGAATTACAGCCAGCGTGCAAATGTATGGAAGTGCTTCAGTCCTTTTCTGCCCGGATTCAGTCAGTGCAGTGCAGKGTATGTGTGTGACCAGCCCAGCAAACCTAACTCCTCTGAAGCATTAGCCTGTTTTACAGGTCAGTCCCTTCCCACCTGGAAAACCATAARGAAGACAGACTCTCCTTCCTGTCCTTGCTCCCCTGCAAGTGGATTCTTTCAGGCCAAGTGTGGCTCTCTCTTACCAGTGCAAAGGTGCTGAGGCTGCCTGCAAATGCCATCTGCCCTCAAGCTGGTGATGTGAGGGACCTTCCAAAAAGGACTCCGCAGTGAGCTTAAAATCACTGCAAGAGCAGATGGGCTGCAGATCCACTCTGCAGGCAGCTATGTGTTGAGTTCCTGCTGAGGACCCTCACTTCCCTGATGGCACCTGATTGGGGACTTATGTCTCTGCAAGAAGGGACAAGCCTGGGCTTCAGGTCACTCCCTCAACTAACTGCATTCAGAGCCAAGAAATGAAGCCTTATTGAAGGTGCAGCCATGCCAAATGCTGCCTGGCTTCTTTTGAATTTGGAAGAAATACTAAGGTTCTTTGAGAATCAAGGACTTTCTGCCTCTAGCTGGACTAACCCCGGAGGAGCAGAAAAAGGACTTTGGAAAGAATTTCCATGTAGTGGAAATTATCAGATGAAATGTGTATTGTAAAGATTGCAGTAGTAAGATGAAAGAAGGGGTCAGAGGAAAATAAAAAAAAGTAAAAGAAGGTATGTGGCAGACAAAAGGAAGATTGCAAGAAGAGATTAAGATGTTTTTCAAGTATATGAGGAACAAGGGGTCAGGGAAGGGCTTTGGAGATGACAAAGGTAATTTAGTGACAGAAGAGGCAGATATTGCAAAAAATTAGATTAATTTTTTTTGCTTCAGTGTTCACAAAGGAAAATGAGGGAAGGATGCCAGAAATATTTTTTCTTCTTTGCAGAGAAAGGAGAAATATGGAAGAATATAGAGGACCAGGGTAATGCAGTTAATCGAGAAATTAGACCAAAACAAAATAAAAACAAACCACAGGGATGCTGTGTCAGCACATGGGCTGCCAATAGACCAAAAGGATTATCTGTGACTTGATGAGCAGAAAAAGCAAAACTAACAGTGACATGCTGGCCACCCGCACTCTTCTTAGTGATGTTCTGGAATGAAAAGAAGTGGGGAGAAAAGCACCCAAGCAAGACTGCGGTGGAAATCAGAGGGAGAATAGGGAAGAGAGAGCAGAAGAGAGAGAGATTAAAACTCTTCAGAACTTGGGATCATGCAGTCATGAAATTAAAAAAGACCTTTTCATTTAAAAAGAATCTGAACATAGCAGAGGACAAGTCATAAAACCACTTTCATTCCCCAGATGCTGGGGAAGATGCCAAGGATGGTGAGCAAATGACCGTGTTTGTAGGTCGTGTGGATCAGCGTCACACTATTCAGCCTCTTCAAACAAGCCACCAAATGTTGATAATGCGTTTTGCACAAAGCAAGTTGCACATAACTGTGTCAAATATGTTTGTTGCAGAAATAAGTTAACRGCATGAAAAATTTATGAGTTAGTACAGTTAGTATAGTTGTTAGGTTCTGCATTTGCTGTGTAAATGTGAGCTCAGTTCCTTTGAACTTATTTTATGACATTGTAAGAGCAGATCTGCATGGTGCACMTTGGAAAAACAGACGCACTGCAGAGAGCTGCCTTGATGCCTCTCGGGTTAGTCATGGAAGTGCTGTAAATCAGCATCCTGATGTACAGTGCACTGACTTCCTTTCCAGGGAAAGCCCAAGTCACTGGATCCCRTTTGTGTGAGATAGGAAACCAAAGCTTAAAATGAGCTGTTTACCTGGTAGGCCTTGTGCTGATCAACTATCTTCTTCCTCCCCATTCTGGATGGAGAGGAGTCAAGTCGCACCTCAGTTCAGCCCCTGGTACTCGAGGCTGGATGCACACGGGCTGATCTGCCATTCTCTGTGAAGATGGAGAGCTGCATGTGGGGAGGGGGCAGTTCCTGTGTAACCTGCCTTTCTTAAGATAAACTAAAAAAGATAAACCAAAAAGAAGAGCACATGAGAGAGAATCAGTGTGGTGAGCTAGCTTTGATGCAAAATCAGACCTTTTTTTCTTTTTTTCTTTTTTTTTTTTAATCTCAGATTTTGTGCCTTATACAGAGTGAGATGCCACATGGAGTCAGAAGATTATTTGAAAGGCTTCAAGGATTCRTAGCCACAAAAACTTCTTTCCACTACTAGCTTTAAGTCTCTCTTTCTGCCAGTGGCATTAATTCTTTCTTTTTCTCCCTCAATTAGTTAATCCCTTTTGACTGTGTGCTGGCATGCAGCCTCCAGGCTGTATCACAAAGGAATGAAGCACCACAGCCCTTGTCAGTGGACMAGTTGGGAGAAATGTCTTCATGGAGTGGGCTACTGGAACCTACTGTCCAGGCTTTTCACATGAAGGGCCTAATCCTGGGAGGCTTGCACAAGCCCACCAGCCCAGGGAATCACTAGGGAATGGGTTTCCGGAATAATTTGGGGTTTGGTCTTACGGTGTTTGAACGGAGAGATGATACAGGTGCTGAATTCCATCTTCTGTATCTAGTGCGGGACTCTGAACGATGATGGCCCCAATGAGAACCTGACGGAGAGGATCCTGCAGGATGCACAGCGCTTGTTCCTCATGAACGACGTGGTGCAGCCGGTCACTGTYGATCCGTACGTGACGCAGGACAGCATTCGGTTTTCCAAGCTCGTGGTTGATATTGTTCAGGGGAAGGATACTCTCTACCACGTGATGTATATTGGGACAGGTAAGATCATGAGGGCTTAAGAAAGTTCTCTCCACCTGTTCACAGAACTGGCAGCCCTGAGAGCCTGGTTGTGCCGTCATTACTCAGCTGTCATTCAGTATCATTTTGGTACAAATCCTCATGGAAGTTAGTTTACCTGATAAATCAGAAACAGGATGGAGAACCTGAGGCAAAATCCCAGGTGGACAGGCCATAAATCTACATCATGTTTAAAGACAATTTTATAAAAAAAAGTTTAACTTAATCAGACTATGCAGAACAGTGGGGAAGAATGAAGGATCTGAAATGCTCTGGGGTCTTGTGGGTGCAAGTTGCCTCACTCTGATGTAACATCCTCATCTCTCCATCACCAATAATAATACTTAAAATCCAGGCTTGCTGCAAGGTTTTATAGTTTCTTTTTTTGCACCTCCATGTGCCTGCTGGTGTAGACTCCCAGGTATTTTKGGGGTAGCATAATAATATAAGGCAGACGAGGAAGCTGGGACTAGTGTTTTTCTGAGGCAGCATAGTGAAGCAGGGGAAGAGTTCAGCATCAAATCTGAGACTCTTGATTTCTACTGCCATCCTCTAATTAGCAGGACACACGACCTCTTCTGAAAAGCACACAGATACCTTGGATAAATGAAAGATGCTGAAGAAGGACAAAGTGTTATAAATGGTTGTCTTAGCCCATATTCATGCTAATGATGGAAGTTAAATTAAATATTTTGATTAATCAAAGCATATGGCCAGCCTCATGGGTATAATATTTTTATCCTCTATTGCAGAAGCCTTGACTTTAGAATAAGATGGATTGCCTGTGTAAGTGTTAGCTTAATCTCCCATCAGAATGCAGAGTCACTATCTCATTCTCATGTTACCACCTTCCAGGACTGGGTCATAATTTATTTGACTTTTGCCACCACTTACTGGGAAAGTGGTGRTTTCTGATGTGTTTTAGTAACACTGCTGCTGTGCCAGTCTCCATGGTTGCTGCATATGATGAAAGGACTTCCCTGGAAGTGTGATGGGGTCCTGCCATTTTTAGATATCGATGCTTTCTGAGATGTGTCCCATTGCAGAGCCAGGAAAGAAGGCTGAGGTTTGAGCTGTGTTTGCCTCCTCCCTCAGACTATTTGTGTCCTGTGACCTCATCTTCTCATTCACATTTGCTTTCTGGTCCCGGTTGATGGTAACTGGAGAATAAGTTCTGTTGTGTTTCAAACTTTTAAAGCATTCAAATGTGCAAGTAGAGACAACCCTGAACAGAAAGCCCAAATCTGAGTCAAACCAACCCGAAGTTGGGTCTAGTCTTGTTCCAGTCTTTAAGGCCCATCCAAGTATAAGAAAAGCCAACCCTGCCACTGTAAGCTACTGAGCTCTGGCATGAGTGCAAGATAATTATGTAAACAGAAAGAGTAAATCCAGGAGCAGTTGGTACAGATAGACCTGTTTGGGGGGGTTTAATGAAAAACTGATTGGCTGCCCCCTTTAACCTAGCAGAAATCCCCCACAGTTTGTCCAACTCTTAAGCTTTTTAGTCAGGAGCACTGTGAACACTAAAATACATATTTTTTTCTATGCACGCCTTGCTTGTGCCCTAAAATTCCCTTGTCGAGTTGGCAGCAGCACTTCTTCCAGGAAGAGGAGCAGTTCAGTCCTTGACCCTGCTGTCATTCTGGTGGCTGCCGAGATTCCAGCAGGGCCGCTGCATCACATGTCACTTGTCATCAGAAATGAGTCGGATCTGTTCCATAAACCAAAGGAAATACAGACTCAAAGCACCAGAAACCATCCCTACTCAGTCAGATCACCTGTACAATTCTCTGGTAACAGGACGAAGCTCTTTTTTCAGCTCAGTGCTCCAACTGGGAAATATTTCCAGGAAGTCGTTCTGTGGATGATTCACATCCTTCTGTTTTCCAACTGCAGTGTGTTCACAGCCACTTTATGTAATGTCTGAGAAAGGTTTAAGGATTGTACCTCTGTAGCCAGGGCTTTGCATACCATGGCAGGCAGGTGTATTTTAGAAATGACACAGAAATAGGTTTAAAGTAGCTGTGTAAAGGTGACATTAATATTGAAGTCTTTGTGCCTGTAGGAAATTAAGTCAATGTCTCCGAGATTTACCTGTGTTTTGTTTCTTGTTCCATTAGAGTATGGGACCATCTTGAAGGCACTTTCTACCACTAACAGGAGCCTGAGGAGCTGTTATTTGGAGGAAATGCAGATTCTCCCTGACGGACAACAGGAACCAATCAAGAGTCTCCAAATCCTGCACAGCGACAGGTCGCTCTTTGTGGGTTTAAATAATGGAGTGCTAAAAATTCCTCTGGAGAGATGCTCCATGTACAGAACAGAAGGGTAAGCAAATTTACAGCTCTCATATATTCCACTTCAACTTGAAAAGAAAAGCACCGGGGAAACATATTCTAGTGTGGTTCATTTCAAAATGTCTTTTCTCATTACCACCAGACAGAAGAATTGGGGAAGCAATGAGAATAAACAATATTTTTTCTCATTGCTATTATTAAGTAGTCCTCAGATTATTCAGGTATCAATTGTAAGTCTGCGAAAGAAGAACTTGCAGCATTGATATCCATGTCTGTATTTCGTCTTTTAGAAAGGACAGGAAAAAAAAGAACTTCTTTTAACTGTCAGTCCTGGTGCCAGGCATGTTTTCCACCCAGCAATGAGTGCAGAAATCTTCAGTATTCAAACATATGTGCCCTTTCCAGCAGGTGAAGCAGTGTGATACCGAGTGATTGAGACRTGCATTCAAATGATCTCTCTAAGCACACAGTGGGTCTGCTGGGGGTAATTGCTTGTTTACATCCCCGAAACAGCTCCTCCCTCGCCACTCCTGCCTTTGCGTTGCTTCCTTTGAGCAGAGTTTTGTCTGAAATTGATGTTCCCTGACAAAAGGAAGGGATTTGTTGGTACTGTCTAAACTGGCTCCCTCTGCCATGGCCTCCTGCAAAATATCCCTGTTGCTATTGTCAGGAAGCCTGATACAGAAAATGTCACTGTCGTTTTATTTTCAACAAGTAGAGTTTATCTGTTAGCTGGTACTAGTCATGTCTGTCTAAATATAAAAATACCAGCTCTTTCTATTTTTGCTGAACYTCTTAATTATCCCTTTCAGAAAATATACCTCAGTCATTGCTGCAAGTTTGACTCAAGCGTTTTCATGAGTGCAGGTTTAGCTGCATATACAGAGAGGCTGACACAGAGAAAGAGAATCACAGCTGGAAAATGCCATCCCAGTCTTAGCCCTTAAAAGCAGAGATTTAGAACAGCAGAACATAACATCTGTCCTCTCCAGGCTGTCCTGGAGAATTTCAGTTTGGGAATATTTATGTGTGTATACATATATATGATCCAATTTCAAGAGCACCAAGTTCTTTTTTTTTTTCCCTTTTCCTAATCTCATATTCAACTTTCCAGTAATTTATAGATCATATCTCCATTTCAGCCTGTGTAAGTACTTTCTGTGACACTTCATTAAAACTCGAATGGTGGAGATTGGCTCAACTAAGAGCCAGGGACAWGCGAGGGTGAAGGAGGGCAGGGTCTAACTCTTGGAGCGGGACCCAGCCCTTGTCACTGACTCGCTGCAGGACACTTCTGGGCTATTTAAGTTGCTCACTGGGCTAGAGCAAAGTGTGGGTGCTTGGGCCTCCCCAAAAGCGAGCAGATGTGGGTGTTTGGCAGCGTGGGAGGTCGACGTTTGCTGAATTTGGGTGTTGGCCAATTAGTGAATCTTTATTGATTGTAGGGGATCCTCTGCCCCACAGCTGGGTCTCCTAGAGGGCCTGTACATCTGAGGGGGAGAAAAACAGGAGAAAACTTCRGAAAGCTGAGGAAAGCTGCTGTTTATTTTTTGAGAAGCCTAAATTYTGTAGGAAATTTTTCAATGGCCAATTTTGGAAGCCCTTTTCTTTTCCCCATTGGCATCCCAGCTGTGTAGGTAACAAGTCAACTTGGCTCCCTTTATATTTCTTGCCATGCCGAACTGCATTGGGAGGGATGTTTTAATTTCCGCCGGCGCATCCCACCTGGCACTGCTCCTGGGCAGTGATTTATTGCTCATTGTTGCACTGCTGTTTAATACACGCCGATACACGGCCACCACGGCAAGGAGGACTGCCACCCCTGCCACGCTTCTTTGTCACGCTGTGGCTCCTTGCCTGGCTTCCCTGAAAAGCTCCGGTTTCAGCAGTTTTTAGGATCTAATCGTCTGGAGGGGGCTCAGGAAGCTTGGAGGTGCTGGGGAATTTGTGCCTCCCGGGCAGGAATACCGCAGTGATGCTTGTTTTCCTTGGCTCTGCCTCTGCTATCAGGAAACTTTACAGCGTTTTACAGCCCGAGGGCTGATGTGGCTTTGCGATTGCTGGCTTAGGATTCCTCACACTGCCTTYTCCCTGGACTATCACATATCGAGGGAAAACTGATCCTGGCGTTTATTCCTCCAGTGCACCCTGTCCATGTGTTGCTTTAAAACCCTGGGCCGTATTCCCGGGGCTCTGAGTTGGGGCAGAGGAGGAAGCAGGAGGGAAAAACGGTCCTGCCATCTCCTTTACTGTTTGTTTATTGACACGGCACCAATTGAATCTCTTAAACGGAGACTGGTAGCTTGGCCCCGCGTCTTGATGTGGTTCATTGACCCGAGATGTTCCTGGGGGTCTGCACAGGGCTTTGTGTGTGCCCACTGACCTGGCTCAAAGGGGCTTTTCAAAGCAGCCAGCGGCAGCAGCAGGGCAGGGGGAAGACATCTGTAATGTCAGCTGCCCAAATTTGCTTCCTGGGCTTGGCTGCAGGGTCTGGGCCTTGTGCATGGGTTTCCCTACTGTGCTTTAAAGCTGCCATTCCCCGCTTGCACTGGGAGAGTTTTAGGAAGATGCCCGATGTGAGCCAGACCTACGAGCCCTTTGAACGTGCGGAGCGTTTTGAAGGCTGCTTCGCTGGAGGTAGCTTGGCCGCGCTTGCTGCTGGGTTTTGCATGGCTTTGAAATCTTTTCAACCTCCCTGCAATTTTCAAATGAGCTGGGATTTCTACCCCAAGTTGCCCCCGAGCTTTGGGGAGGGATATCTGGAGAGCCAGCGTTGCAGCTTTACCACTGACATCCCCCATATCTGTAGAAAGTGCCCGAACAAAAAACGGGATCTGAATTTTGGAGGGGGTGAGGAATTGTGATATGGACCATTATTCCCAGGTGGGGCCTATCTGTCAGTATAGCTTCATAATTGCTTTAAAGGGCGGGATTAAATTATTCATTTTAAGAAGGGCAGCGCAGCAGGGAGGAGCTGCTGGTGCTCTGGGGGCAGCAGCCCCCTCGCCCTGCCGGCCCCCATGGCCCCGGCGCAGGGAGTCTGAGACGCTGAGATTGAGCCGTCCTGCTTGGCCTGAATTCTGGCTCCACGTCCCCTCCGGCCAAGCGGCTAAATGCGAAGCCGGCAGAAATGACTCTGCTGACAGGGGCTCTTCTCTGCTGACCTGCAGCCTGCGGGGGCCGCAGCTCACCCCTAAGTAGCGCCCGGCCGCTCATCAGGCAGCTCAGTGTCTATGGGTGAGTCCTGAAATAGCCCCAGGGGCTCGCAGGGCCAGCAGCCCCAGGACAGAAGCACGGAGGGGTTTGGGGCTTTTTTGTTGCTTGCCTTCTGCAGTACAAAATTTGAAAGCTACAAATACGGTTTCTATATTTCCATACCACATGTAAAGGGAAACATCTGAGATATTGCATGGTGGATTATTTTGGTTGTTATGAGTTGCTGGGATTCTTTCTCTGTTTGGGATTTTTTTTTTCTCCTTATAAGGTGCAAAATCCTGTGTAACAAAGGAGCAAAACACTTGAATTTAGTGGCGGAAAGACAGAGTAGTTAAAGGATTACCAGATTTCTGGAAAGAAAGTGTTAGGGAACTTAACCAGAGGAATAAGACAGCATGGGAAGAGGTCTAAAAATTCCCTGGTGTTAGGGAAGGAGGGACTTGAGTGCGGGCTGGAAATCCTCTGCCCTCCTCATCAAAATGCCTGTAGCTCCTCCAAAGACAAACAAGCAGCTGTTGGTGGTGGGTGAAATTATGGGAAAGAAAATGGTAGGGAAGCTGTGGGGAGGAAACCAAGGAAGGACCGTTCAGTGGAGCCCAGCAATCAACAGATCATTTAGGTGACCCGGATCGTGAAACAGTTCAGCAAAGAGCCTGAGAATCCAGCCACCTCTTCTCAGCTAAGACTGCTGAAAGTCTGGCATATGTTTTTGTAAATCTTCAAGAGTGTTTTAAAAAATTTCCAACATGCTGAAAAAATCCTGTCAAAAAACAAAGAGATGTTCGGAGGATAGAGGCAAATGGAAAGGTAAGAGCCTACAAAAAGTTGTAAAGCTTCATCATCTGTTTCCATCTGTTCTAGCTGATATGGTCTCTCCAAGATGAAGGGAATTAGCTAATTATTTTGCCACTCATTTGAAAAGCTTTGAGAGACTTTACAGGCAGAAAGAGAAGTGCTCAGCCTAACCTTTTGTCATCCATAGTCTCCAATAATAAAGCATAATAAATCACTAAACATCTGATTTGACATTCTGGTTCCATTTAGGTAAATAGTGAGACTCCCACTAACAGCACGTGAAGATATCAAACAAAACCTTGTTCACTAAAGCTCCTAAAAAGAATAAGGTTTGGTAGATGGAAATGGATTTGTGTTCTTTAAATAGAAGTACAAAATTATACCCTTTCCTCTCTCCAGAAAACTCATTTGCATGTACTGTAGCAGGCAATTACTCCCATCTTGTTTAATGTAGCTGCTTACATATGTAAAGCTAAGCTCATCCGGACTGTTTACAAAATTTGGATTTTGAGGTTCAAGGGAATGAAACAGGTGTGAGATCTGGATTTTAGCATATCTGGATTTAGCATGTGAAGAGTTTGGGAAAGAAATGTGTCTGTATGTATCTAAAATTGAAGGGGGCAGAAAGGAGGAGGGCAGGGTAAACAGTAATGCAGTGAAGAGGGGCATGTTTCCAGTAAGATGCCAGAGAGGCTGATTTTCAATCTCCTCTTATTTGGCATTATCTTTAATAACATTGAAGAAAGAAAATGGGATACTTCATGGGCAGCACTTAAGTATGACAGAATCACAAATAATAGTGAGGAGAGAAATGCAGTCTGAGGAGGAGAACCAGCAAGGGGCTGGGTTTGAGGAACAAGCCTTGGCTGAGTTTACTGGTACTAGGATTGCTGAAAAAGAGGGGACACAGGAAGGAGAAGTGAAAGGGGCTTTTTATTTTTAAAATTTTATATTGGCAAGTTTTACTGGGAGGGGMGAATAAATGGGGAGAGTTTGGACATATGGAGGAGTTTTACTTGC